AAAATTTTTTTATTTTTTAAAAAAAATAATTCAGTAAAAAATTAAATTTATTAAAAGGGAACTTCTATCGAAAAAAAGGTATATAACATACCATAACATCGTTGCTTTCAATTTACTTCGTGAAAAACATTGTGATGACGGTATTTTATTGCAAAATTATTGCCATATTTATTTATTTTTTTCAGGTGTTTCAAAGTATCACCGAACCGAAAAATAATGATCTGATTTCTTATAACATTAACAAGATTCATCGAGAAAATAAGGTTTGAATTAAAAATTAAATAAAATACATGTATTCCACATCGTATTGCCTTTTGAATTTATTTGCGATAAAAGAGACTATAAAATATTAAAATTTTGGGCTATCTAATGCTCAGTGATTCATTATTACTTTTAATGCAGATTTTATCATCCGTTGTAATCCTGAATTCAAACTACCAAATTATTTCAAAGAATCTTTCTGAAGAGTGTTTTATGCGATGATTTAACAAAATATTATGATTCATTTGTGTGGGAGGCGCAAGATCGATAATTAGGACACTTGAACAACTTGACGCGAATAGGACTTATGGTTAGATTCAGTACCGATTATTTTTTTTATCAATATTTGTTGTACAACCCAACCAATTTGCATCCAAATTACCAAAGAATAATCTATGATAATTCATTTAATTATTAAAAAGTAATTATAAAAATCTAGCTAACTATAAGATCATCGAGCAAAAGAACTACATTGTAAGATACGATACATACATTCGTAAATTAAAATAAAATCAGTAACCACATCCTGCAAAGTCTATATTTAGAGGTTTCGAAATTAAATTATCACCTATTTTAACATGTTTTCAAGTTTATTTTAATAAAAACAATCAATTTAGCGGTCATGTGTATTATTAATAAAATTCAAACTTACTATTTACTTGAGTGTTGATTTCTAATTCTTTAATATCACGCTTCTTTAAAAAATTTTCAGATGGAATAAATGAATTTAATTGACGTGTATAACCACACTCTGATGCTGAGCATTTGAGGTTGTTAAATTCACATCTAAATTAACTTAATATATTATAGTACCTTGCAAATCAAATTCTAGTTCTTTCGAAATATATTCTAATGGATAAAAATTTTAATTATTAAAACTTTAATTCAATTGATCCTTTTTCTAATAAATATTTAATGATATACCTGAAACTGGTCGAACGGAACCGACCGGTCCGTCACCGCGGCGAAGGTAAGCTGTCGATTTATTTTTTTTTTATTTATTTATTTTTGTTTTTTAAATGTTTTTTTATTTAAAATTTTAATTTTTATTTTCTTTTTCTTAGATTCGATCGGTTAGCTAAGAACTGGACGGAACCTTCGAACGGAACCGACCGTCTCGTCATCGCGGCTAAGGTTAGCTGACTAATTTTTTTGATTTATTTTCTTTTCTTATTTGGTAATTAATTTGATTACTAATTTTATTTATTTCATCTTATTTATTTGATTTAGGCAGTTTTAGGTTGGATCGA